GGATCCAGCGGCGCGGCGGCGGTCTCGCGGGGCGGCGGGGTGGCCTGCTGTGGCGGCGCTCCGGCGACCCTCGGGCTGCGCGCTGCGGGGTGGCTGCGGCGCTCCCGTCTCGAGAGGTGGCACGCGACCGGTCTCGGGCCGGATCCGTCTGGATCTGGCTTCGGGGGGCGGCCGGTGGCGCCTGGCTCCGGTGGTGCGTGCCCGGCGGCTCCGGCGCTTGGAGCCCGCCGGGCGACGCGGGTAGGGCAGCGGCCGGGCGTGGCTGCTGCTCCAGTCATGGGCGGCGACATGGGTAGGTCTCGGGGGCCTATCGGTGTCGTGGCGGCTTCACGGTGACTCGTCGGATCTCTCCGCGGCAACGACCGGCTCCTCCGGCGTCGGTTTGTCTGCGTTCGGGCCGTCTCGTCCTTCACCCCATCTCCTCGTCGCCCGGGCGCTACGTCCATCAAAGGGCTGGTCCTTTCCCAGTTGCGATCCACCGCTCGTCTCGCGCATGATGCAGCAGGACTGAGCTCGTCTCGCGCACGATGCAGCAGGACCGGGCTCGTCTCGCGCATGATGCAGCAGGACCAAACTCGTCTCGCGCCCGACGCAGCAGGACCGAGCTCGTCTCGCGCACGATGCTGCAGGACCGAGCTCATCTCGCGCTTGGGGTAGCAGGATGGGTCGGTGGATGCCGGTTCTGGCCGACCTATTGGGTCTCGACGCTGGGGGTTGCCCAGGGGCGCGAAAGGTGGGACCTTTCCGCTCGTCTCTTTCGTTAGGGTGCGTCGGGTCACGGGTGAGGTGGTGTCGAGGTCTTGGATGCTGGGGCGGCGGCCCTGGTGGTGGCGGTGGCGCGGTGCTCTTGGACATAGCCCGCGCCTTGGTGCTGCCCGCTCATCATGGCCGTGTGGGCGGCGTGGTTGCCGGGGTGTGGCGTTCAGTGGCGGTGAATGTTGGCCGAGGTGAAAACCTGCTCTATCTTCGGACGGACCGGCGGCGGCGAAGATCGCTCCCTTCTTGAAGGCGTCGTCGCGGCTCTCATTGCTCGTCATGCGGCTCCGGGGGAAACTTTGATCCTTGGATCGGGCGGTGGCGGCGCTCCGGCGTCGTTTCCTTCCTGAAGGCGCCGCCTTGGAGCTCATGGTTCGTCATATGTAGCTTCATATCTTCGGGGCGGTAGTGCTAGGAGTAGTGTTGCTGCGCTCAGCGCCTTTGTATCCCATCCTGGGTGTGTGCGTGTGTTGCGGTGGCGTAGCGTGTGGTTGTACTGGATGCTTGTGGGTTGTTGCTTTATATATAAAGCGGGGCGAAAGTCTTTTTCGGTAAAAAAAGCATTATATGAGTAATTTGGTCACTCGTCGTGCTCGTTATGTGGAGAGACACAACCTCATAACTGAACGTTTCGGTACTAAGTAATATCATCTATAGTATTTGCCAACGTGCCATTTTTTTAAAGAAAAGGCACGCGCCCGATTTTATAAATAAAGCCACTAGGTAAGATTCAGAACATACAACCAAACAAAGCGAGATTAAGACAATACAGTTACACATGAAAATCGGAATAGGCATGCATGCCAACTATCTACGACCAAGGGGCACAACAAGCCAAAAAGAACACGGTCAACCAGCATTGGCATGGTCATTCTGGAGCAAGGGAGACGACGTAGAATGTACCCGTGCGATCAGGTCTTCAGTTGCTCCATGATCCTGGTCCTTAGTCAATAATTTCCATTATTGAAGGAAAGAAATCAATTTGAAAAGAAAGTCAGTTGGTTTAGACGGGAATATGTTTTCAATACTAAATTTATTCCTAGTAGTCCACAGGACCCAGGACATAGCCGTGAAACCAAACCAGAACATGCGTCTATTTTGACCAGCAAGAGAACTAGAGCAGGATCCAAGGTCGGAGAAAGAAGTGGGAGACCAGTTCACATCCAACCAGGTTCGAATACAGCTCCACATAAGTTTAGCCAGATGTAAATTAAAGAGCACATGACCTCTCTAGCCCCACAAAGCTTACAAAACTCAGTCCCAGGACTGTTACGTTTGTGGATCTGGTGCGCCGCGGGGAGCCTCCCTCAAATGGTTTGCCACATAAAGAATTTTATCTTAAGGGGGATCTTGGCATGCCAAATATCTTTGAATTTCGAGCAAGGAGGACCTATAATCAGCCTGGAATAAAGCGACTTAACCGAAAAACGACCAGAGGCCGAGTAAGGCCAGGGCACTTGGTCCGCATTCTCCGAGAGCTGGGAAAACAGTTCAACACATTGTTGCCACTGATTCATCTCTACAGCAGAAAACACACGATGAAGTTGTAAGTCCTAGCCAGAACGAGCGAGATCTGAGATGGAAATCTCAGGAAAGGAAACAAAGAAAAAAAATAGTAGGAAAAAAAAGACAAAGAGGATTATCAACACACAACCAACTGGTCCAAAACCGGATAGATTCGTCATTACCAACTACAAATTTAACCTGAGAACAAAAGATATCCCTCACCCTGACCAAATCGCGCCATAACTAGGATCCACCAGTCGCAGAAGCACACATAGGGTTGCGAGAGGGAAAGTCAGTACTTTGTTTTGAGAATGTCACTACAAAAAAAAGACACATCTGTGACATTTTAGGCTGAACGAAATTTTTTTCTGTCATACATATGACACTTCTATGACGATAATTGTGACAAAATCCGGTATCATCATAGATGTGGTGGGCTCCTACTTCTATGACAAAAAATCATGACAGAAAATGGGCTTTTCATCCTGGGCGGGCCGGAGACGCAGCTGCATGACATTCTTTGGGCCGTCCATGACGGAAAAAACCATGGTAGAAGCGAGGGGGAGGAAAATTTCGGGGAGTTGCCGGTTACGGTGGGAGGTCGGGGGCGGAGCGATGCGCGTTTCTCTCGTACGTACGCGCGTGTGTGCGAGGCATTGGCTCTAACTGAAGTCGAGCGAGGCGTTGGGCTCTAACTGAACCCGAGCGATTGCACTGCAGGTTACGCGTTACTGAACCCGAGCAATCGATCGATGGCTGTTAACTGAACCCGATGGAGCGATTCCTTCGCTACTGCTTCCAACTGAAGCCGATCGATTTGATGAACAGT